ACTTTACCTCTTTCCTTTTATTCTTATAACCTCATTTTGTAAGCATTGTTAGATATACAGAATGTTCCATTAGACTTACTAATATTCAGATATCAATATTTAGATAATTTCTGTAGTAACACAATTAGTTCATTAGTATTAACTTTAATATATAAAGGTCTTAATGGATGATCTTTGATTTGCCTATTTTGTTTTTTCCTTACAGTGATGAGAAGGCATTTTCTTATGTCTTTTCAAATTATTTTTTCCTGATTTTTAAAAATGTTTTTAAGATTTCTTTATGCACACAGAACTGGGGTACAAGCCAGAGGTGCGGGGGTGGAAGGATTCATCAGGGACAAAGTAGGGAGTAGAACAAGCAGAGAATGATTTTAAGGTCTGCTAGCATGTGAAGCAAGTAACTATCAAGTGAACCTGATGCTGGCATTAATTTATAGGGGTCAACAGGAGAAAACTGATATAATAGATGATCTGGGAGATGACTAGTTGTCCCACATCCCTTCAGCAATCTTTAATGAGTCTATGTCACTCTCTACTGGAATGATTGATCGTGAAGGTACAAGAGCAGAGGACAAAATATAGCTACCATGTTTATTTACATTGCAGAAAACGTTAATTTCAGATGATATCTCCTTAATACTGTAATTTGTTACCTTTTTTATTAGAAGAAGTTGTATAATAAGAGCTCTTATTAGGAGATAAAACTAAGCACCAGATACTGAGCTTAGAACTTTACATATGTATTTACAGATAAATTATCTCTCACAACATTAGTATCTTACCTAATTTATTATTAGGCAACATTGTTCTTCTTGGGCCCACATATGTACTACAATTTGGTAATGAATTTTCTAAAATTTGTTTAAATTGATATGTCTAGAAAATGAAGGTATGCTTAGGTACTTTTTCCAAATTGATTTCAATAGATATATAAACTTGGCTAATTTTTAATTCTAGCCCCTTTTTAAATATTTATTTATGCATATAGAACTGGGATACAGGCCAGAGGCGCAGGGAGGTGAGAGGATTCACCAGAGACTGAGTGGGGAGCACAATAGACCAAGTGATGAAGTACACTGTTGAGGGGAGCAGCAGGCTCTGCAATGCCATGTTGGTTACCCCTTAGGCTGGGTATCGAACTTGTGCTGCAGTGGCTGTAATAGCTTCATAGTGCTGTGCCTTAAAACCATTGCACCACCAGGAGGGCCCCCTAGATCTATTTAATTATAGTTTGGTAAGCAGTAAGACCATAGTCTTACCAAAGACTGTTAGATATATTTGATGTATGTGAGAAAAATTTATTACTTAGAAATTTGGCAAATAGATTGAATTTCTTTGATGTTTTTATTTTAATTTTGGGGTTGGTTTTGCTCTTCCAGTTGTACACATGTTCCTTTCACCCTCCACCAAAATGTTTCTCCTTTTATTGTATAAAGGAATTTGATGCCACATCAAAAATTTTAACATACCTTGCTTTCTTTTAATAGTTGTCTACTAGCACCTTTTCTTTACATTTGTAACTGAGTTTGCATTTGCTCCTTACAGTCATTTCTGCATGTATTTATCCCTCACCATATCTGTAAGAAAAGTTGAGGGAGGAATAAAGAATATCACTGAAATTAATAAAACCCAAACAAGATTTACAAAAGCATGACTAGCAATGGGATATCTTGATTTTTTCATACTCTTTTCCATCGTTGAGGTATTTTTCTGTTATACTTTAGGAAGTAGTTTGTAAAGTGTATGTTCCAACTCATTGTTTCATTTTATTTATTTATTAATGGTTTAGCCTCTTTATCTTTTGGTCTGTTTTATCAAGTAAAACTATGGGATAGCTTCATTGCTAAAAATTTTGTAGTTAATTGTTCATTTAAACTGCATGTTTTACAGTTTAAGATGAAGTGTTATTAGCAGAAATATAGGGACCCTTATAAATGCTTCAGAGAGATGACAAAGAAACAAAATGATAAAGAGAAAAAGCGATTTATGCCTCACTCTACACAGAGCTCCATTTTAGAGCTCTACTTTAGAGCTCTGTGTGTATGTGTGCGCGCGCGCGCGCGTGTGTGTGCTTGAATGGTGGGAAGAGGAGGAGGAACAAGCTTCAGTAAGCACCATCTTCACTATACATCTCACTGGGTAAATCTTGTTAGTATTAGTTATTTAAAAGAAAGTTCAACTTTGACTTAGAGCAAAGAAAGAAACATTAAATTTAAAAATCTCTTACTTTTTAGTGTCATATTCATGCTGTTTTGTTGAAGTCCATGTCATACTTCATTTTTACAAAGAAAATGTTCTCAAGGACGGACAGAAACTGGCATTGCAAGTTTTCAGTAAAAGCTTAAGATGTTCTCTGTTAATAATGGAATAATGAATGATTTTTTGGACTTGTTCTTTAGATTTGATAAAATTGAAGAAAAAGGAGAGTTTGATATTTGAGCTACAAGTTTCCTTAGTCATTAATGTCCATAAAAAGGAAAACTAGTTATAAAGTAAGCAAATAGATTGTTAAAAGATTACATTTTGTAGGCCCAAAGATTTCTATAAAGGGAAATAATAATAGTATTCTTAAATTGTTGATAAATTCTTTAGATTGTCTAGTAATGTTTATTACATGGTAAACATTAATTTGATGATAATTTCCGTCATTAAAACTGCTTTTAAATTTGTTTTCTTTGAATTGCTGCTATTTTTACTGTTTATATAGTCACATGCAGGTAATTTTATTACTATAAATAAAGTAAACTAATAGAATAGAAATTAACTCTACAGGGAGTAACAAGAGCAAATAAATTAGTTCTTTACTGTTGTTATTCTGTGCCCCCATGTTACATGATTTATTATGGGAAATAGTAAATATAACTTAAGAGATTTTTTTCACATAGCTATATATGTAAATTAATGCAGTTGTGTGGGATAGCTTGCTCTATATGTTTTTATAGTGATAGGAAGAAAAATGTGTTTAGAAACTTTTTGTTTAAACATTTAATCTTAAACTCCAATAAAACTATGTAATTTTGCACAACACTTCCTTCATATACCCCTAAATTGATCAGAGACCAGTCAGAAATATCTCCAGAAGAGTATATAATGGAAAATAATTTACTGTTATGTTAAAGTTACCTTTATCAAGATTGTGTGTTGCTTATTTGTATCATTATGAATTGAAGTAATTTTCTTCTAATTTGTTGTATAAATTCTGAGTACTAAGAATTATTTGAGTAAATATTTTTTATAATTGTGCTTAAACATAATTTTAAACTGTTAGTTATGTAGTTCTTGGTTGCTTCTGTATTAGTTATCTCCATACTAGATCTTGGTAGCAAGCATCAGTGCTACAGATTGTTCAGGCTTTAAGTAAGTACAATCACTGAAAGATCAAATACTAGTATTCATCTCTTTTTTAATTTTCAGTCAGATTTACTCTAGCTCAGTTGCTAACTCACTGCTTCCTTTTAGAATTCTTAAGCTGAGTCAATTTATGTAACTTATCTAATTAAGACCTTCTAAATAGCAAATTTTACTTTATTTTTTCATGATTTATTTATTTATGCATACAAGAACTGGGATTCAGGCCAGAGGTGTGGGGGTTGAGAGGATCCACCAGAGACAGAGTGGGGAGCAGAACAGGTGGATGTACTGAAAAACACTGCTAAGGGGAGTAGCTGGCAGGTCAGAAGAGGCTGTCATGCCACATGTGTCACTCCCTGGTGGTGTATAGAACACTTGACCTGCTGTAGTGGCTGTTATAGCTTCAGAGTACTGTTTTAACCTGTTGATCACCAAGGTAGGGCCCGGAAATTTTATTTTTACAAGAATATTTATTTAGAAGAAATTGACATGTACCTTTTCATAGTAACTTTCAGTCTATCAGTGATGACTGACAGTTTCATTACATTTGCTGCATTTCTTATAGTCATCAAATATAAATCATCTTTTTTACGGGAGTTTTTCAGAATTAACCATCTTGATGTTTTACGTATTTCCCTTTTAAACTTGCTCATGATTTTAAATGTTTTTATCTGTTGAGTTAGTTTCGTATTACAGTGATTTGTGTGTTTTCTCCTTGCATCTGAAATTTTACTTTCGAAGCATGTTTCTAAACTGCTATCACTGTTGCAGCAAAATATTTATGCAGCAATATAGTTATTCAAATATGGCAGTGTTTACATAAAGTATTTTTAGAGAAAAACACATTTTAGGTAACAATTGGAACAGCTGATATTAACAAGAACAGCTGGAATAACGCACATGATATACATAAGAAAACCAACTAAAATGAAGCTTTCACCTAAGTTTAGTTTGAAATTGGGAATAGCACTAATAATTCTGAACAGAAATTTAAAATTCTAATCAGTAAATATAGATTATTTTAATTTAGAGCTATAATGGTAAATAAGAAAAAAATCATAGTGAAAGCTTGAAAACTAAGCAGACTGAAAACAACTTACAGTTGAATGCTAATACTAATTTTTATCAGGAACTAAAGTACCTAGCACTTATCAGCAAATATGACTTTTAAAGCTAAAGGACTTAAACTTTATAGTTTTTAAAATACAGTATGAGCTATTTGAGGTTAATTGTAGAGGCTCGTTCACAAAAATAGCTGAAACCAATGATTAATACCTTTACACAAACTAAGTCCTATTCATTTCTAATTTGTAAACTATATGTTATATCAAAAGTTATAAATCAAAGTGATTTAAATAAACCTTTTGTGTTCCACCTCTTACTGTAGAATGTAGTTTTTAAAAATGTAGTTTAGGCACATTTGATTTGTGGATGATTTTGTTGCAATTTGTAAGTGAACAAAGCAACACTTGTTTATTACTACTCCTTTAATAGGTTTTTTTTGAGTGGAAGAAATATGGAGGGAAGTGGGAAAATAGAAATAAATTATAACGGAATATTATAACTGTTAAGTGCTTACATTTCCCCCACAATATTGTCTTGTACTGTATGATTTTTCAGCATTTAAGAAGCGGTTTTGTTCTTTATAGCTGAACCAATAACGTTTCCATCTGGAGGAGGCAAGTCATTTATTATGGGTTCTGATGATGTTTTGTTAAGTGTACTGGGCCTTGGAGACCTTGCAGACTTGACGGTAACAAATGATGCAGACTATAGTTATGATGTAAGTGCAGTTTTATTTTTAATTTTTTAATGATTTAATAGAAGGCTCCTTGTTTTTTGGAAACACTTATAAAACAGAATTAATATCAAGGTGCATGGAAAAGATCAGTTTAAGTGTGTCAGTATATTGATTTGAAGTGACATAGTCTTTCATAAGTACTTTCTTTGTGGTTTATATACGTTTTCCTTAAGTATTATGGTGGATTAGCTGGGAGTTTGGGATGATTATTACCTTAAATTCCTGGTGATTAAAGTCTATCTTGAGTAGTCATCTCTTTTTATCTACTACTATCTACTCAAACTGAGCCATATTGGTGTTAGCAAGAAAAATCTGGACAACCTGAGTCTCTTATTTGCCTCAGAGTACTACTTAAAAAATACATTTTTAATGATACTGTTAAAGGTAACTTGCCATTTCCTGAGTCTCAGTCCTTCATTTGAGCATGGGGAGAGGGGACGGAAGAAGGGATTAGAAGGCAGTATTAGAGGTAAAACAAGTTTTAAATTAAATATTTTGTAGACTGTCTTTATTTAGATTTTTATATTAATGTTTTTCAGCATTTTAAAAGTTTTATTAAAAAACCTCCTTTTCTGCATTTTATACTTACATTAGTATGATTTTTAGAAATACCAACCTTGATGGACTGGATTATTCTCATTAATATGTTTAATGTTTATAAGTAACTAAATTCTAGTAATCTACTTTAATCTACTAAATCTACTTTAGATGTGGCTTCATAGCCTATCTTTACAGATGGAGAATGAAGGTAAAAGATAAACCTTTTACTGATACCACCATTAATGAAAGTATTCCTCAAGGTTCTTTTTTTTTTTTTTCTTCACATATTTGGAAGGTATCTTACTTTGCTGCCTTTAAAATTTTCATGTGCTATTTTCTAAATAACTACTATTTTTAATATTGTTCTCTTGAATTTTTGATAGTACTTTATTTGTTTTCATTTAAATCTTGCAGCATGGTAGTTTCTTAGTTGTTTTCATAGGATAGTTAATAGGAATTTGGGTTTAGCCTGATGATTAGGTAAAACAGATTAAGGAACTCTGTGATCTAGGTATTTGAATTGAAAGCTAATAAAATGGTTCTTTTTAGTTCCTATTAAGTGGTAAAGATTTTTATAGTTTTTAGGGTACATTAAATTTCCACTGGGATGGTTAGCAAAGCAGTTTTAAATGTATGTTTTAAACACACCAAAACAAGCAAGCAAAAACTCCATAGGCCTGTCAGTTTACTGTTTTTATCCCTAAATATTACGCTCCTTTCTTTTTAGTTGCCTGCCAATAAAGATGCCTTTAGAAAGACATGGAACCCGAAGTATACACTACGTAGTCATTTTGATGGAGTACGGGCATTAGCTTTTCATCCTGTAGAACCTGTGCTGGTTACTGCCTCGGAGGACCACACTCTTAAACTTTGGAACTTGCAAAAAACAGTTCCTGCCAAAAAGCAAGTATTTTAATGTTAACCTGTATTTTCTCCTCTCCACATTTGTTAATAAATAATTATTCTTTATGGCTATGTTCTTTGCACTCCTTTGACCTTACTTAGTGACTCTTAAATATCAACCAATGATTTATGGTTATTTAATTGCCTTCTTCTCCCCTGCCCTTTTTGTTCCCCTTTTAGGAGTGCCTCTTTAGATGTAGAGCCTATCTACACATTTAGGGCCCACATGTAAGTTTCACTGAATTAGTTTTTAATTAGCTATCATAGCTGTTTATAACTACTATTTATTTGCAAACCTTTTAATTTTCTCATAATGTTTGTTTTATATTAAAAAAGACATTTTAGTTGAATGTTCTCATTAATAATTGTATTAGAAATAATCACTGCTGTTCAAGTTTATAAGTTTACCTTAAATAGTGTTTAGATACTTAATAAATTCAGAGCTTGGGAGAGTGGGTTTCTTCTTAGAATTTATGAGTTATTTCCTCCCTTTTTTCTCTATTAGTGGCCCTGTTCTATCATTAGCTATTAGTTCTAATGGAGAACAATGTTTTAGTGGTGGTATTGATGCAACAATCCAGTGGTGGAATATGCCTAGTCCTAACGTGGATCCATATGACACATATGGTAAGTAAAGGTTTAAAATGTACCTTTTTAAGTGAATGGGAAAAACATGTAATGGAAAAAATATGAGTACCTGTACATACATACATTTTTATTTGCATAACTGTCATTGGACACTTGGGTTGTTTACTGTGTTGGCCTTTGTAATGCTGCAATGAGCATAAGTCTGTGTTCACCTGCATTGTCTCAGGATTTTATACCCCAACCCCTCATCAATACTTGTTTCTGGTCTTACTGTTCAGGCTATTCTCTTTGTATGAGGTTGGATCTCATTGTGATTTATAAAGCTGATTTTAAAAAAGTTTATGTTCCTTATAAGATACTGTGAAAAACACAGAAAATATTGGATGGGATATAAAAGTAGCCCTGATTCCACTATTTAGAGATAGCCACTGTGTAACTTGGTTTTGTTCTTAGGACCACTAGATATTTCCTTATATGTAATCTTTATTACTTTACTACATGGTTAAGTTATCTCTATATACTAAAATTTTCTTTAACATTCTGTTGTTTGTTTCTTACCAGAGCCAAATATTCTAGCTGGCACTTTAGTTGCTCATACAGATGCTGTCTGGGGTCTTGCATACAGTGGCATAAAAAATCAGTTACTGTCTTGTTCAGCAGATGGCACTGTTAGGTTGTGGAATCCACAAGAAAAATTGCCATGTATTTGCACTTACAATGGAAACAAAGGTAAGTAACTTTTTCTTCTCTGCAAAGAGCTTGTTTCATTCATGTTTTTAATTTGACTACTCCAAGAAATACATTGTAGAATTCTGTAAAGCTGTGATAAACTTTTATTGCAGGTTATTTTTAATAAACAAGTATATCCTGTAACACATGTCCTATTTTAAAAATTCTTCCTTTCAAAGAAGACTTGAGTCAGTTTACCTTTTGACATTTACACAAACATGCACACACATACATATGTACTGATAATTTTTTAAGGTTTTTTTTTTTTTTTTAAGATATATTTATTCATTCATACAGAACTGGGATACAAGCCAGAGGTGCAGTTGCAGTGAGAAGCTTCACCAGAAACAGAGTAGGGAGCAGGACAGGCAGGTTGCCAAGTACACCGCTGAGGGGAGCAGCAGGAGAGGTCTGCCATGCCATGCCATCTGGGTCACCTCCAGGGGCAGGGGATCGAACTTGCACTGAAGTGGCTGTGGCCAGCTTGCTGTGCTGCATCCTAACCCGTTGTGCCACTAGGAAGGACCCTTTTTAGGTTATTTTTAAAAATCAAATGGTTATTTTTAAAAATCAAATCTTTTTACTAAGAAGTGTGTATGTGTGTGTGTGTGTTGTTATATGCCTCTGAAGAAGTATGAACCTGTGCCTCTGAATCATATACAGTGCTTAATTCAGTGCTCCCTTGTAAAAAAAAATTTAAGAGTTTTGTTTAAAAACATTTTAGGTGTGGCCCTCCCTGGTGGCGCAGCGGGTTAAAGCACTGCACTGAGAAGCTAAAGCCACTTCTGCATGAGTTCGATTCCCGCCTGCCCCGGAGGAGACCACATGGCGTGGCAGACCTCTCCTGACCCGCCCGCTGCTCTCCTCAGCAGTGTACTTCATTGATCTGCCTGTTCTGCTCCCCACTCTGTCTTGGGTGAAGCCTCTCACTGCCCCTGAGCCTCTGGCCTGTACCCCAGTTCTGGATGTACAAATAAATAAAATCTTTAAAAAAAAAAAAAAAACATTTTAGGTGAATAGTATACTTACTTCTGTTGACTTTCTTTGACCCATTAGTGATACTAATTTTTCAGTTACCCAAGCTTTTGAGGTAAAAGTTAATTTGGATTCTTATCTTGTTTTATCCAGGTAATTGCTTGACCTTAGATTTTACCTAGTTATACATTGATCTGGTCAGTTGAATTTAATGTGTTAACAAGAGAAATTGTTGTTCAGGCCACTTTAATTAAAAAAAAAAATACTGCATCAGTGTTTTTCATCATTAAACTTTTTATTAGACCCAGAAATTTTACTTGTTTTATTTACATGATAGGGTTTATTTTAGGTCTCAGACAAGCAAATAGTCTCCCAAGATTTTCTCTTCCTAAGAAGAAAATGCATTGGAGAACAAACAATTTTTGCACATAACTGCTCTCGGAGATCTTTATTTTTCTTTCTTTCTTTTTTTTTTTTTAAAGCTCTATTATTTTTTCATTCATATAAGATCTGGGATACAGACCTGAGGTGTCGGGGGTGAGAGGATTCACTACAGACAAGGGTGGGGGGAGCAAAACAGGTAATCTACTGAAATATACTGCTGAAGCCTAGACAGGAAGCTGCACCATGTGGATTAGCTCCCTGGCCTAGGATTGAGCTCATGGCTCATGGTGCAGTGACTGGCTATACCTTCATAGTGCAGACACTTAACCCCTGCTCCACCAGGAAGGCCCTCTATTTAGAATGTTAAGAGAAACTTTTAAATGAAGAATTACATAATACTCATCATCCTAGCACATTTGCTTTCTTTCACATTATTAACATTTCAAGAATATTTGAGTTTCTTTGTCTTAGAAAAAACAGAGGTCTAAAATTTCTTTTGTATTTATACTGTATTTCTGGGCTTCTTTCAGAGCATGGAATACCAACTTCAGTTGACTTTATAGGCTGTGATCCAGCTCATATGGTGACCTCTTTCAACACTGGTAATACAGTCATTTATGATTTAGAAACATCTCAGTCGTTGATGATATTTTCGTCACAGATAGATTCTGGTAAGTTTTCTTGGCTTGGGGAGAAACCCACAAAAAAGGATTATTATACAATAAAAGGGTAGACTCTTTTAGCTAATTTTCATGTTTTGACCATTCGATTTTAGAATTGAGAAATTAGAGATTCCGTTTCAGTGTTTTTATTGTTCTTCATTTTAAAAATTATGAATGTTTTTGCAAGACTACTTCACAGTAATTTACGAACCTTTATCAGAAGTAAATACTCATCTTTTTTTCTTAGGTTTTCAGTCTTATTAATGGCTCTAAATTCATTAACGATGAAAAGTGATGTTCTAATTCTGTCACACCTTCCTCTTTTATTAACTAGAGTATTTCTGTAAAATGGAATACCCCTAATAACCCTTTATCAATAATTTGGTTACCTTGGAGTCAGTGGTTGATTGTAAAGGAAAGACCATATAAATGATTTATTACTCTGACACTCTTAGCTATCCCCAATTTTACTTAACAGTTGTCAAAAATAAAGAGTTGATTCCTTAACATTTCTAAATGTGACCAGAGTCTTTGGGGGATTGTTTTGGTATCATCAGAATATCTTTTGGATATAAATATGTTTGACATATTTTAAGTCATGGCAGATATTATTTTTATTGTTGCTCAGATTGTTTCATTTTGGGCCTATTGGAGCTTATTAATCCAGGTTGATTCCTAAGTGCTTTTGACATAACTTTGTCACTGATGATCTTCTAGGTTCATCTTACTTACTTTATGCTCATATCTCAGCCATAATTTCTTTCTTTTTTTTTTTTTTTTAAAGATTTGTTTATGCATACAAAACTGGGATACAAGCCAGAGTTGCAGGGGTGGTGAGAGGGTTCACCAGAGACAGAGTGGGGAGCACAACAGGAAGATTGACGAAGTACACAGCTGAGGGGAGCAGCAGGCGAGACAGGAGAGGTCTGCTGCGCAATGTGGGTCACCTCCGGGTTGGGGGATCAAATTCACACTGAAGCAGCTACTTCTAGCTTGCAGTGCTGCAGCCTAACCTGCTGCGCCACTGGAGCCATAATTTCTTTTAGTGAAAATGCCATTTAGAGATTATGATTGTAAGGTTCTAGGCTATTGGCTTGATTCAATGGCTTTCTTGGCTCTTGAGTTGGTTGTCACTTAGGATTTTTTTTCAGAGAAGAGCTAGAAATTTTTAAAAATACAAAAGTGATAAAGTCATATATAAATGTATCCAGTTAAAAATTCAAGTTTAGGGCCCTCCCTGGTGGCGCAGCGGGTTAAAGCACTGCACTGAGAATCTAAAGCCGCTTCTGCATGAGTTCGATTCCCGCCTGCCCCGGAGGTGACCACATGGCGTGGCAGACCTCTCCTGACCCGCCCACTGCTCCCCTCAGCAGTGTACTTCGTCGATCTGCCTGTTCTGCTCCCCACTCTGTCTCTGGTGAAGCCTCTTACCGCCCCTGAGCCTCTGGCCTGTACCCCAGTTCTGTATGCACAAATAAATAAATCTTTAAAAAAAAAAAAATTCAAGTTTATCTCATGGATTTTTATATCTCTGCTTCATTTTAATCATGCTAATCAGCAAAGTTATCGTTTGCTTTTTCCCATGGCACACATAGCAGTCATTCCCAGAATGACCAAGATGACCTCTAGTTTAATTTCTGATAATAGTTTGTACTTAGTATACATTCTATGAGAGATGAACAGTTTAATTACTGTGCTGTAAAGTCATTTGAAATAGTTCATTTTAGGGTGTTTTCATCATCAGTTGGATTTGTAGTTGATTTGTTAAATTTGCTTCTACTCTCTTGACTGATTATTTAAAAAGGCATTTTATAATTTTGTAGAAACATTTAAATGGTTCTTTGATAATATTTTGCTCAGCTATTTTCCTGATGTCTCCTCACTCTTATTCCCTTCCCCCTTTTACATAGGTAACTGTGTACATGGTTTGGATATTGTTTTATTTTGTTTTTAATATGTTTAAAGTTCAATTAAGAGCTCTCTTTACATGTGGAAGGGTTTATTGTAGGTCTAATGTTTTTTCATTTGTTTACATTGCTTTTTATTTTACCTCATCTCTAATAAAAATTTAAGAGCTTGATAACAAAGAAAATGTCTCATTTCTAGTGAACATTAATTCTAATTCTTTGGGCTCTTTTGTCAGTGTTACTAGGTTTGAGACCATTCCTTTTAAACATCGAGTTTAGCTATGAATTTTTCATTAAGTGCTTATAATTCTTTTATGGGGTAGTTTACTAGAGGTAGTGATTATTGTGGGTCTTCTAAGAATTCCAAATTACATTTACCGACATTTGGTATTAAATTATTTCTTATTTTTTCTAAACTGGAGCATAGGATCATCATCATCACAGAATATAAGAACTGAAATATGTTTAAAGTTCTGTCTCTAGTGTGTTAGTATTAGTTCTGAGACATTTTGTGTAAAAGCTATCTATTTCCTATTTTTGGTGAGTCTAAAAGGCTAGACCTCTAATTAAACATGTGAAATTTAGTGTACTTTTCTTTTCAGGTTTACAATCCAGTAATCATATTAACAGAGTAGTAAGTCATCCCACACTTCCTGTTACAATAACTGCTCATGAAGATAGACACATCAAGTTTTTTGACAATAAAACGGGTAAGTAGATTTTTATTTTCAGTGATATTAATAATTTTTAAATTTAAAATGATTAAAAATGCTATTTTCTATAGTGACTTCAGCTTCAGAAATGCCAAGTTAAACCATTTAAACACAGATTTTTATTTTAATATAGTACACTTAGATGTATATTGAGCATTATCCTTAAGTATGCCTTGCCTTTTATTTCAGTATGTCATGTTACTTAAAGAAATCCTCATTTGAAAGTCTTTCCTTCATATTCGCTTTTGAGTTAGTGTGGCATGAGAGGTATTTTTCATGTGTTTAGCATTTCAAATATGTTCTTAAAATTATTTGCCTGTGGATGAAATGATGATGTAAAAACTGTTATCCTCTTCCATGTATTTCTTGTTGTAAAGAAATTTATATTTAAGTTAAATCAAATTTAAGTTTGGCCATAGGATTTTCTCTCTTTTTTTTTTTTTTT